ATACCACTCAGTAAAAGAAAAAAAATTAATAACACTTAATTTTAGTCACGTGCGTTATCGCCGCTTGAGTGTTTTTGTACAAACAGTTCGCGCAACATGACATCTGTTCCGTGTTTTAGGATTCGGGATCATTTTCCGCCGTTCCGTGTTTTAGGATTTGGGGTCATTTTCCGCCATTCCATATTTTAGGATTTGGGGTCATTTTCCGTCGTTCCATGTTTTACGATTTGGGGTCATTTTCCGCCATTCCATGTTTTAGGATTTGGGGTCATTTTCCGCCGTTCCGTGTTTTAGGATTTGGGTCATTTTCCGCCATCCGCCATTGCACCAGTCCGCCATTGCACCATTGCACCATTCCACCGTTCTGTCGTTCCAGCTTTTAGGGTCGCCCCAGGTGTTAAATATTCAATAGTTACTGGGGTACCTGTGGTAGCCCAGTCATAAAATGCCTTTGTTTTTTTGTTGACTTTTTTTTTGTTTTTTTTTTTACTGGGATACCTGTGGTAGCCCAGTCATAAAATGCCTTTGTTTTTTTGTCGTCTTTTTTTTTTTTTTTTTTTTTTCCTCCGCCACAAAATGGAAAAATTGCGCAATAGTACCCAGTGGTCATTGGGCCCTCAACACCATGACAACTAACTGTGATCCAATGAGGTGTTCACATGCTGATCACGCGTGTTATCTTGATGATGATTGACGTTGTCATGCACAGACAGAGCCGGGTCACATGACGAATCACGAGATTTTGCTTATAAAACTCTTTGGTTAGTTGTTTTGTATTTCAACGTATTTGGATTGCGATCTCTTGAAGCATTATGGCGCAAACGCGCAAAATACTTACAGACGCATATACAAGTCGTATTAATCGCGGCTAATCCACACTGAAAGATGTTATTGAGTGGTAATTTTGGAACGGATTGAGTCGCGAACGCTTGAAAGCCATGAAAGCCTTGAATGCCTTGTATGCTAAGTATGCCAATGTCTTAGTTGAAAAACGTTCACTTGTTGTAAAAAACAAAATCTGAAATCTGAAACCAAACTGCATATACTCTATGCAATCTATTGAACAACACTACTACCGTGAGACTGAAGAACATAACTATAATGGATGCAAACTGCTTGTGAAGAAAGACGACATGTTGGATTCACTTGATGGCAAGGAACGTAACTACTATAACAGTACGAATGGTATTAATTTCACGATCAGAAAGGTGAATCTTATGTTTGTTTTTATTGTAGTCGTATGGATATTCTTTTTTAATAAATACGTGATCCAAAACCCTGTGTTTTTTTTGTGTATAATGTTATTATGTTAAATATTGTTTACGCAATTGTCTTGTCACAGGCGGCCCAAGCTCACGTCTCGAGAAAAAGCCAACGATCAATTCATGAACGCGTCACGCGTTGTGTGACTCGGTCTTAAGTTACGAAAGGAACTGCACGTTATAAGGAACTAGACCCTGTCAGCAGGGTAACTGGGATACCTGGATGGTACTGGATCCTTGGAATCAAGTGTAGTGATACTACGGGTGTCGGACTAGTATACTGAAATAGTGCGCTCAAGTCTGGCCAAGGGCATACACCTATTTCAAAACATAGGCATGCTATGCGTGCAAGAGTTACTTTTTTGTAGGGTGGGTGGATTACTTGAAACACTGTGAGTGATGTCTACATTCTTACAAAAGGAGAGAAGAATATGTAGGAAAAAACGAAAATGTCGAATTACCTCACTCACAGGTATTTTGTGGTAGATTATGTGTGTTTTGCGAATAAATGTAACCAAAAATAAACTGTATTGGTGCCACGGTTAGTACAAAATGCAGACAGCAGACTGCAGACCGGATACAAAATATAGACTGCAGACTGCAGAGTGGGTACAAAATGCAGACTAAGAATCTGAAGAGTTTTTACGTCTGGTATATAATAACATGTCATCTTACAGCTTACCGAGCGTCACGCAATCGCTTTTCTGCGATCCGCCTTCACGATTATTTGCACTATTGTGGAATATTCCTGGCCCATTTCTTGATGAAAGTCGATCGCAATATTATTTCAAGCCTTCAATATAGTCTTCTTACTTTGCGCGCGAGTTGGTTGGTGTGATGTCTGTATAGATTTTACCGACGTAATAAAAGTAGATGACGTGAATAACGGTGATGGTAAAGCAAGCTTAAAACGACAGAAATCGCCAGAAAATACAACGGATACACAGGGTATGAGTAAGTTTTATTGATTTTACGAGAAAAATGTTCATATTTCGAAATATGTATCGTTGTAAATCGACCATACTTTGTTCCCTGTACTATTCCTTATAACGTGTAGTTCCCCTCGCAACTTAACACCGAGTCACACAACGCGTGACGCGTTCAGCTTTTTCTCGAGACGTGAGCTTGGGAAGCCTGTGACAAAACAATTGCGTAAACAATATTTAACATAATAACATTGTACACAAAAAAACACAGGGTTTTGGATCTGTCTGTGCATGACAACATCAATCATCATCAAGATAACACGCGTGATCAGCATGTGAACACCTCATTGGATCACAGTTAGTTGTCATGGTGTTGAGGGATAACACGCGTGATCAGCATGTGAACGCCTCATTGGATCACAGTTAGTTGTCATGGTGTTGAGGGCCCAATGAACTCTGGGTACTATTGCACAATTTTTCCATTTTGTGGCAGAGGAAAAAAAAAAAAAAAGAAAAAAGGGGACAAAAAAACAAAGGCATTTTATGACTGGGCTACCACAGGTATCCCAGTAATAGTATAGGGAACGAAGTATGGTCGATTTACAACGATTTAATTTTTGAAATACAGTTAACTTCTCCACTAATCACACAACACCTATGCAAAGCATGTCAATTATAAATAACAAATATGGAGAGTTGCAAATTACTTTCAATACTTTATAGTGCAAACAATGTATTCCTTACCATCATTTTTCAGTGTTTTCTTTCCATTTACAGACTCAAGTGGCTGTAATGAAAAAACAAATTCAAACAATTTTACCTCACTTCTTAAAGCAAGAAATCACAAGAAGAACAAGTGTAGAAACTTAGACATACTTAGGCTAAAACTCTGATTCAAAAATAAAAAAACACCCCCCTGCAAAAAAAATTGTACCACTGTCTTTGATACCATCCTGTTACTCTACTATTTTTTTCACTTTTCTTTGCTCCTAATTTGTTAACACATATAATGCTTCTTCTCAATGGGAAGTGTCTTCAAGAAAACCCAAATAACAAAACAGTATTGGCAAGAAAGATAGCCAAATGAACGGTGGTATCGAATTAGGGCTTGGAGCAATTAACCGACATGAATGACTGCTACACCCCATTCTTTTTTCCCAGGTCTACGTGAACTAGATTTTGAGCACAGAATACAATACCTCACCAAACATCTGTTAGAATGACTCACTTAAAAGTGTGCATGATTATCACCTCTTGTTGAGATAGCACACTTCACTTTGCTGTTTTTATTACTACACATATGGGGGCTTTGGTAAGATTGTGGAAAGGAGGGACAACATTTGAGCAGCTGGGAGGGACCAAAATGACAGTGTGGCAGCCATTTATTCCCACTTGGATGGCAAAGTCTGGGGAACCTTCCCCTGGAAATTTAAAAGTTCAGATGTCCAAAAGGGTCCATTTTAGGCCACTATATCCCAAGTTGGCTAAAAATTATAGCTGCTACCAGGGAGAGTATTGACACTGAATTAATGAATAGAGTACCTTTTACGTAACCAACTTTATAAACATTATACATAGCAATGTTGTCTCTGTGATGATGTCTGTGTGGTCTTGTTTGATTTTTACCTTTGCCTTGCTCAAAAAATGAAATTGTGCTAAGGACGACATTAGATTTTAGGGTACAGTGCTGTGATTTCTAACACAGTATCTTTAATGCAACCACTGATGGCAGAGGAGTTAATTAGTACTTCAATGATAAATGTAGAGCATGGTAATCAATGAAACGATCAATGCCTACTCATGAACTAGCTCTTTGTCAGTGACAAGTTGACAAAATTAATATTGGCAAAGGTTACTTCATACAACAATTACTGTAAACCACCATACCAAAAAACATGGCAACTGATACATTCAACCAGAACTCTTTGTGCAAGAAAATACTGGAACCACTCATAAAAACAAGCAGTAAAGGTCCGAAAAATTTAAACCTTGCATACATAATGTTGTTTTTTTGTGAAAAATTGCTTTCTACAAGTGGCTTAGCCTAGGAGTAATGGTAAAATACACAGGTGCCATCTTTGTCTGTGAGTGGATTGAATCTATTGGGTGAACACCAGAAAAAATAGTAATATTCATACAAATAGGCCGAGGGTTTAGTATAGGTATGCTGTGGTTTAGTTTTATCCTTAGTTTAATTCAGCCCTCGACACTGAAGGATTCAATGAATCCAGGTTAGTAGTTACTCGCACGCTTCACCATGCAGTCACATGAAATCTACAGTATTTAGCCCAAAACTAAACGCGATCTTTGAAGAATGGCTGTAATATTTAAATGTAACAAAATACTAGCATAAAATGCAACCGAAACCTTACCTTACTTTACTAATTCCGACAAAAAAGCACAACTTCGATCAGCGCACTCCAAACCAATAAGGGGAGCTACGAGGCAATGTCAAATAATATTCTCGTCTTCGTAAGCTTTCCAAAGAAGAAAATTTCACTAATACTTCGCGCTTAAACACGCAACAAGAATATTAATCTTTCACCAATCCGATGTGTCCCAAAAGGCATCAAGGATAGCCCATGAAGCAAGAATAGCCCATGAAATTCTCAAACTTCGAGCGCGGAAAACTTAACGATCGTTACACAATATTGCATTGCATCCCTCCCCTACTTGGGAAGTGACACGCAGAAGACACGTTCACAACGCACTTTGATTGGAAGAAGTAAAACCGCATTCTATTGGTTATTAGATGTGAGGGCATAATTACAAAGGAAGACACAACTGCAATGCTACGCACGAGAATGATCGTTACGAGTATACCTGCACTGTGTATAGATAGTCGAATTTGGATGAAGAGTTGACATGTTGTTTAGGTAGCGGCTCATTTTGGAGCGGAATAGCCCTTTGAAGCAAGTCTTAAACATGCAAAATGGTTTTTGTGACTTAGTTTGGGTTTGAGGACAGGATGTCGTCACACGGTTATACTGGAACTTTTCGCTTTTATTCTTTCTGTGTCTGTGTCATGGCCACTGTAAGCCATTTACTCTCCCAGTGTTGTTTTGACTTTCAAGTTGTGGAAGATGCCAAAGAGAAGCAGATATGAAGCTCAATGTGGCGTGCTGTAGCACCTGGTCATAGATCTTCACATAGAACTTCATTTCTTAGCAGAAATACATCCTCGCCTTCTGTTGGTCGCCATTTTCAAACATTCTGACAATACACAAGAGAGGTGTAACAAGTCAAAGAAAGTATCTCGTTGAAAAATGTTGCTATTAAGTTTAAAAAAGGACGAAATTAGGGACGAAAAATGATGGCGGTCGACGCCTGTCACCAGTGTCCACATCCAGGAACGCTTGGAGGATTTTTGTAGGAGTAGGGCATGGACCGAGTTCAAATGCTCGCGCGGGCCTCGCGCAGCGATTATCTCTTTGAATAACCACAACAATGTCGTATCATTGAACTCCGTAAAACTAGGTTGTCGTTTTCAAGGCAGTCAGCAACACACATCTCCTGGTGAACATGAGCAATTTATCGTCTCAGTCCAAACGAACTGAGCCTTTACAAGATGACGGAGTGGACAAAGAGCACCTTCTGCACAATTTCGTAGAAGCGAAGCAGAAGGTTAACGCTAAATTCAGAGACCTTAAGAAGTATCTTGAAGACTGTGAAAAATTCTTAGCTGAGTTCAGAAAAGCTGATGAAAATGAACGAGACATCAAGAAATTCTCAAGCAAGGTAAGATTGTATGTCGCGTTCAAGCTCCATGATATTGGTGAGAATTTTTAAGTATTGTTAAAACGGCGTTGTTTTTTAATGTTTTTTTTTTCAATTTATTTTGCTATTACTGCAAAGCTACCCTGCACTATCGCGGTCAATTTCTTGATGTAGTAATTCTTATTAAGTCAGAACTGATTACTGCATTTCTCTTATACAGGTGTCAGGCTATCTGGCTCAGGTTTCACGCATCTCAGAGGTACTATCAAGGGACCAGATAAAGATGGCCTTCTTTGGAAGAACCAGCAACGGAAAGAGCACTACAATAAATGCCATGCTTCAAGATAAGATCTTACCAACAGGGTTGGGCCATACTACAAATTGTTTTCTCAGTGTACATGGTTCAGATTTACCAGATCCATATATCTTGGTTCCAGGGAGTGATGACAAGAGGAATGTGAAGGTATGTCCTTCTAAAAAGTATTGTAAGTTTCTCCTTTGTTATAATTACAAGTACCACATTTTCTCAATTGAGAATTGTTGCAATTCTCTCTCCTAATAATTATATGTACCACATTTTCTTGATTGAGCAACCAGTGCATTTATTTCAAACTTGGCCTGGTAAACCTGGTGTTTATAATTATCAGGACAGGGTATTAGTCTGGGATTGGTGTATCAACTTTTTTTAATATCCATATTTTAAGACTGATGGGTAGTCAGTGAGAAAACATGATTTTTCTCTGTCAAACTGTCACCTAGTCTTAACAAGGATATATATTTTTCTTACAAACATTTTATGTTTAAAATATGATTTACAGTTAATAAATTGTTTTTAATTTTTATAGCCTAATAGCAAATAAAGGCCTTAACCTCGATCAATTACCCCGGCCTACTGTTTAATTCTAAACTAGAAGTATTTCTCCAGTGTTTACATGGTTTTAACAATTAATTTCGGTTTTACATTTCATTCAGAAAATATCATTGGTACTTAAATTATCTAAAAGCAGAAAAATCTTCATGAATAGATTAAATAGTACTCCAATTGACATATGCACTGTCTTAGTTAATGAATAGTTAGTAACTATGATAATTACATATTTTCTTTTTGTTATCAAAACAGTCATTAGATGAACTTGCTGATGCCTTGTCCAAAGAAAAGCTTGATCCTAGCAGTCTTGTTCAAGTGGTTTGGCCAAAGTCCAGGTTTGATTTTGTTTTGTAACTATTGTATCATTCACATGTACTCACAGGTAACTGTTGTCCTGTCAATCAAAGTGCATTTACCATTCAACCTTGCAAACTTTATTCATTGGTTTTAAAGGTAGAATGTTGTGCCCTTTGTCCAGGTTTATTCCAAACAGGTTAAGTTTATCGAAACTTTTTGGCTTCAAATTAATTCTGTTATTATGCATTAGACTTATGAGAGATCTGATTGGTCAAGAACATTCTATCAATATACAAGAGCAGAGGAAGTTGACATAATAACCCAGTATCTGCAGCAGACATTGCATCTATTATTTGGAGTTAAAAGTCTGCCTAGTGTCTAAGCCCTTACTCCATGAAGTGTTCTCAAACTTTTGCAGACCTAGAGAGATGTGTCTTCTCTTCCAGATTTTTTTTTTTAAATTTGTAATGAAACAATTACTGAATTAATTCATTTGATATCATAAATTATTAAGCATCATGTCTTTGTAATCTGCCTCAGCCTTCAGTTTTGGTAGATGACTCAGACCTCGGTTTTGATAATTCAAGTTATCGTGCTCAACTTCCTTCAGTAATTGTTTAATAAACATATAAAGTAAAGTATAAAGCTGTGTCATTGATTTTTCAATGAGTGTCTTATAAACAAAGGAAATGTACTTGTAGTGTTGAAAAGCTCTTGGATAGGCTGCCTCTTGTTTCTTAAAAAGATATAAAAAACTTCTTAAACACAGTTCACATGTTCTAGATAATGCATTTCACATTAGATCAGAGGGTTTGTATAAATAAAGTTTTACCTGTACATTGTTATCACTTGTGATGGTTTCATTTTTGTTAAAACTGTATTTTTTTTAACCTCAGATGTACAATCTTGTCAGGGGATGTTGTTTTGGTGGATAGGTAAGCAAATTAAAATTGATAAAATGTACTGTATAATTAACCTTTTCACCCCTCAATTACGCATTTAGATCCCAAGAATAAAAGAAATTATTATCAGTTATAGAAGCTCTTGACTGTCAGGCAAATTGTCTTTGTCTGCATCTAAGGGAATGTAAAGAGGACAGTATAGAGAATGTGCATACTAATGTTATGGTGTGAAGGTTTAAGAAAAACAAAGAGACAAAAAAACAAGAAAGCAATTAAAACAACAGGTTAATGAGGCATTGCTCTATTGTGACATATCCGGTGTCTTCTACACCTAGAAGAAGCCTAAAAATGCCATGTAATTAGTCACAGAAAATTGTTATTTTAGTCCTGGTACAGATGTAAGCCCTGATTATGATGGTTGGATTGATAAGCACTGTTTGGATGCTGATGTGTTTGTCCTGGTTGCTAATGCTGAATCAGCACTCACGGTTACGGTATGTTCATGGCCATTCATGTGCTATGTGTAAATTTAAGATACAACACATACAAAATTTAAATTTGATGGAACTTTTTTCAAAATTTCAGTTGCTTTAAAATGTGACTTGTTACAGGTCCATTGTGGTAGCATTCCTAGATTTAACCTTCCTATGCTTGTGGGATAGTTTCTCAATTGGTACCCTTGTCATTTGCAGGAGAAAAAATTTTTTCACAAAGTGAATCAGCATCTTTCAAGACCAAACATCTTCATTGTACATAACAGATGGGACGCATCTGCATCAGAACCAGACAAGATGGAGCTGGTTAGTAAGCACTTATTTGTCCTTGATACCCAATCAAATTTGAAATCAAAAGATGTCAAAAACTGAATCAAAACACAACATGGAGTTGCCTTTCATTTTAGATGCTCTCTTCAAAGGAAATTGTTGCTGGAAAAAAATTGCTGATGATAAAATCATAGTGGGGGGGGGGGGAGAGGAGGGAGTGGGGGGCTTAGTTAGAGGGGAAGGATTAAGGTATGATGATGGGTGGGATAACAAGCCATTTATCCTACCTCCCTTCCTCCCCCTGGAAAACAACCTGTCTCCCCCCTCCCCCCCTAACTATCAGATGATGGTGATAAAGTGTGATTTTTTTTAAATTTTTTTTTCCTGTTTCCTTAAGGTGAAAAATCAGCATCTCAGTAGAAGCATCAGTTTTCTTGTTGATGAGCTCAAGTGTGTAGACAAAGGAAAGGCAGAAGACAGAGTGTTTTTTGTCTCAGCTAAAGAGGTAAGCTGCGGGTTATTTTATATCACAGTTTACAAGGACCAATTGCAAATAACTTTGAAAAAGTCTTCAAATTTTTGTTACTGCTATGCAAAGAGAAATATAAAACAGGACACACCTCTTAATTGATTTATTTATTTGAACCCCACTTTCTTTTCATGTTTCTGTTTTACCTAGACCTTAATGACCAGAATGCAGAAACACCAAGGAATGCCTCAAGGAGGTTTGTGGCTGATCAAAATGTGCATTCTCTTGAAACAGCATGAATTGTTAGCAAGTAGGATTTTTATATTGAATCAAGTAACTAGCATTGCCTTGTTGTTTTTCAGGTGGTGCCATTCATGATGAAGGATTTTTTGCTCGGCAGTTGGAGTTTGAGAACTTCGAACACAAATTGGAGGTATTTTAGCAGCTGCTCTGGCTTACAATCCAGCATAGTTTTCAGATAGCCAGTTGTCTGTTAGCAGATCACTTACAAACCAAAAGGTGGCAGAAATATTTTGATGATTGTAAAGTGGAATTTAATGGCATTGTTATTCAAGGAGTACAAAATTGCTAATGGTAACTTCACACATTAAAGCTAGTTACAAGTAATTTACCACCTGTTAGACCTTTAACTGCCATCTATTTAGCATGAGAGGGCCTTCTGACCCTGCCACCTTAAACACCATTGGCAGCTGCCCATGGAAAAGGTTATTGAAACCCCAGGGATTGTTGGGTGTAAGGTCATTGGTAAGAACTAATCAAAGATTGCTACCACAGAGTCATGATGTATTTGTACATGTACTTTTTCCATTTAAAGTTAAACACATTTGCTTGTCTAGAATTTGTGTCAATTAATTATTCTCACTACACAACATGCATTACATGCTTGGTGTTACAGGAGTGTATTTCTAAGTCAGTTATACAAACCAAGTTTGAAGCTCATGCATTCAGTGGATTGAAAATTGTGAACACATTAAAGGATTTCATGGAACAAAGAGTGGATTCTGCATCTCAGCAAAGGTGAGAAAGAGACAGATAATTTTTTCATTTTGCTTAACAATAGTGATTTTAGGTAATTGTTGGTTTTGCTGAGTTCATATGGTCTATTTTGCTTAGATCTAAACTGGAGAAAGCCAAGAAGGAGCAAGAGAATAGACTGGAATATGTGAAGGAACAGCTTAGAATTTATACAAGTGACACCGAACTCCAGATCAAGGAAATCACCTCTAAAGTTCAGGGTCAGGTAATGAAATAACTACTCAAATGTTCTTTAGGAGGCATAAGTTTTAAACTTGTGGTTTATTCTGTCTCGAATTATGGTAATTTTAAGTTTTTCACAAGGCAAGGTTCCAGAACAGATCAAAAAGTATGTACTAATCAATTGAATAACTTTTTTGACATGCTTTTTAAATGCTTGTCAGGTGCCTCTGATATGCATATCAAATTTACTTTAAAGTGAGTGGTAAAATCTTATCAAGAGTTTGCCTTAATTATATTGTTATAGTGCCTGAGTTCACACAGATATGCTTGTAATTTGTAATAGGTATGATGCTTATAGTAGTGTTGCGGTGTAATCTAACCAGCAGAAAAAAAAAAAACAACAATCCCACAGACTCAACTACTTTATTAAATAATGAGCAATGTTCTTAACAAGGAGTGACCCCTAAAAGCAGTACAATACTTATCGTTAATAAACTTAATTAAGCCCACCACAGTCTATATCCCAGCACAGCTCACCACTGACAAAATCTCACTGCTGTCTCCAAAGTTTCTTGAAATGAGCAATCTTCTGCATTAACACCCTCTCAGTATAGCTTTTAAAACAGTTGTAGCTCTGACAACAACAACTACTCCCACTGCTGCATCAGTGAGTCTTTATATATCTTCACAAAGTGTTCTGGAACATTTCAGAAGCTTACAGAGGAACTATTTTAGTAGTAGTACACAAGTGCGTGACTTGAGATGGAAAGTTCTTTGGTATGCAATTCAGCATGACTAAGCAGTCTGGAGATTTCTAGCAGCTTATATTTTAAAAATTACTCATAACTGATGTTGCTTACTCAAAAAAATGTTTTACTTTCTTTAGGTGACTGAGGCTATGAGAGAAGTGATTGGTCAACTGGGCTTGCTGGTAAATGAGTTCGATCATCCATTCCATCCTCATCCTGAGTCCCTCAAATCATACAAAAAGGTGAAAATTACATGTGTAGACAGTTTCACTGCTAAGCAACAGCTGCAAAAGAAGAATAATCTGAAATTTAATAATTTATCACTGATTTTGTTAACAGGAGCTGTACTATCACCTCAAGAGGGGCTTGGAGAGGAATATGACGGCTTGTTGTTCTAATTCTCAAATTCAAGTGATTTTTGAGGAACTAGAAAAAACTGAAGGTCAGTGTTCAGGAACTACTCTATGTTACATGGATGATGTGTGAATATGCATGTGTACGTAAGCGAAAAAAATTCTTGAATGAGTATATAAGTGTATTGCCGGAATTATCTGTGTACGTAAGCGAAAAAAATTCTTGAATGAGTTTATAAGTGTATTGCCGGAATTATCTGGTGAAGTACCTTTGAAAAACAGCTTGCATCAGTTTACACTTCCACGCCTTACGATCTTTCTGATCGTAAGTCACGCTCGCATTGTTTTGCACGAGGATTTTGATAGCTACTTGTCAAACCTGTCAATCAATGTCACCATGCTGCACCAATCAGAAGTGCCATATGTGGGCAAATAGATTTTTCAAAAGCTAGGATTCGCTTGCGAGCCTTCCTTCCTCTCTCCAACCCACCTCCATCCTGCGACCTTTCTACTCTCATCCCGCCACTTGTAGCGCAGTTAGGATATGAAAAAGTTCTTCTTTTGTACTGGAACGCTTGTAACGGAGGATTTGCACTAGGGTTGCAAAATAACTGAGGTAGAGTAATAACTAATGGTACGTCACTAAGTCACTCATATGGTAGGGAAAAATAAAGGGGGGGTGGCGGCAGGAAGCTAACATCAAAGAGACAAGAGTCCTTAGGGACCAGTTAATAATTTTGGCCGTGGAGGGGGGATTTAGGGGAGGGTCAAATTGTTTTCAGGAGGGAGGGAGTCAGTCGTCAATGGCAGAGTGTAAAGTGGGAATGTAGAAAATTGACTGCCAACACCACTTTACCACAGTTTATCGCAATACGACCGACTTCCTCCAACCCCCACCCCCACTCCTCCCCCTCGTATGATAAGTAATGACCAGACCCTTAAGTGTATATATATATATATATATATATATATTTTTTTTTTCTTTTTTTTTTTCTTTTCTCCCAGATGGCCTTTGTAGTCTTCTGCCTGAAACACCAGAGGTATCTCTTGAGCCTGACACTCTAGCGTGAGTATTGTGTTCCTTAACTCATTAAACCTTTACATCAGTATGCAAATTCTCTATACTGTGCTCCACATATTTCTTAAGATACTGACAAGGAGAATTTGTTCATCTCAATAATCCGCGTGACCTGAATGTGTGATTCCGGGGTGATATTGTAAGGAGAAATTAGATGCTGGTCAAGGGTTAAGATCTAATGACTCGGTATAATAAGACATCAGGACTACTGGCTTTAGGAAACCAGGAAGCAGACACCCAAGAGGGGTAAAGGAATAAACATCCGTTTTTCTTGTTACTAATTTTTTTATCTTGTTTATTTATTGTAGTCTTGATTTCCAAGCGAACTTCGAACTGGATGTGCCCCGTCTGTGCACTGATTTTCGTGAAGATATCGAGTTTCACTTCTCTCTTGGCTGGCAAGCGATTTTGAGGAACTTCTTGGCGCCTCGTTATCCTGGACTAGCCATCGTTTTGGGAGCGAATGTAAGAACACTTCTTTAGTAATGTAGTAACAAACGATTTTTGATTTCTGAGTTGTTGTCCAGAAATAACTCCTCTGCTCCATCACTCCGGCCTTCCATATTTGATAGATGTTTGAGGGTTCGACGCTGAAAAACATTGTATGGATGAACTGTACTCCGGAATGATTAAAATGCTTACTTAATTTCATTTTAAGTTAGGAAAGAGAAAGAAAAAGGCGGTAGTTCTGTAGCTGATTACCATGAAATAAGTGATAACGTTCCCAATGAAACTACGAATACACATGCTTCTGACGAAGATTAAAAAAAAAAAAAAAGAGAAAAAGAAAGAGAAGAAAACTTGCTTTCACTTGGAATCGATCCCCAAACTTTTCGCGTGAGAAGTGAATTGCAATCCATTGCGCCACAGTTGTACTGAAGTTGGATGGATCTGTCGCCCCTCGATAATTCATTTTCGAACTGTAGTGGCTCATGGCAACTTCGATTTTGTCTAAGATTCAGCGAAATGAGCAGAGCTTGGTACTTACCGCACCAGCTGTCGTGCAAAGGCTAGCTTCACCAACAATTCCCGCTGGTACAATGGTACTCATAGTTGGAGGACTGGTAAGGGTTAAAATATCTTATTGATTTAGAGAAACTCAGTCATAAAACACAGCGGTTAAACGTCGGGCATTGCTGGGGAATCAATTTTTGCCGGCCGTGCTTCAATTTCCCGCGTAAAATTTCAAATAAAAACAAATGAAACAACCGCTGTCTTGCAAAGTAAGCGAAAGAGAATCGAGACGATTATAGCAATCTGTTAAAGGAAACAAAAGCAGGGAAAAGGAAAGCGAGAGACATTTTAAACACTAAGCTTTTTCAAGTACTGGTATCCTGTTGATTTACCGAACTGTTTTGAGCTTTACCGAAAGAAAATGCTTCAGAAACACCATAACTTACTGGCTTGTGTTGTTGTTAGTAACTCGAGTGAGACAACTTGTATTTGACAGCCTCAAAGCGCACCACCCAGCTATTACGCACGTGCGTATACGTTTGACCGCTGCACAGATATAGTCGCATCTCTCAAAAATGTGATTTGAGTTTCAACGCAACACCAGAGATGTATGTATGCTTACACGAAGCGTCCATTTCAATTCGTGTTTCTTTAATTGCAGCTTTGGAAGATTGTAGGATGGTGGTTCACGGCTTTGTGTGGTGGAGTGTATGTAATGGAGAGGGTATGTTGGACCAATTGTGCTAAAGAGGAAGCTTTCAAACGACAGTTTGTGGATTACGCTTCTGAAAAGCTTCAGTCAGAAGTCAGCGTCATGAGCGCCAAGTGCAGTGGACAAGTGCGACAGTAAGTTTGGCTGCCATGTGATTTTTAAAGCGTCTTTGATGTATTTGCTGGTTAGATTTTCTTTTACCCACAAAGCCTTGTGATTGGTTTTTGTTTCAATTTCTGCCTCGCAGTCAGGCCAATCAGAAATGGTGTCATTTTTTTTACCAATTGGGTCGCAAATTGTTCAAGAGTCGCGAATTTTCTCGCGGTTTACATTCGGTATCTTGCTAATCAAACCAGGTGTCGTGCTTTTGACCACTCAGGTTACAAATGAAACAAACCCTAATTTTCCCTCGCTTTATGCTCGGTACCAAACATTGATTTGCTCCTCAACTGATTTCTGTCGCGTAACAGCCCCATTTTGAGCCAAAAGTTGAGCTATTTATCCCATTGATACCTTTCTGCTCAAGTGACTGTCGTGTTGGCCAAAAAGTTATCATAAACTTGTTCAAACTCAAGCTCTCTAGCCCACAGCTTAGGGTAACTTCACTTTACTTGAAACTGAATGTTGAAACGGTGCCATATGGTGAAAGGCTAGAAGTGTTGATTGCATGTAATTAGGGTAGTAACTTAATTATTCCAGAATCGTCTATGGTTGTTTGATTTTGCACCCATTCGGTACGGAATTCTAAGCATGCAAAGCCTTAATTGCCGCTCTCGATAAGAGCGGTCCTCTCGACATGTAGTCGGAAAAGGGTTTTCTCTTATTTTTTGCCCATGAAAAGGGTCTAGCACAGATATTTGAAAAAAAGTTTAGTTGTTCTCTAATTCTCTGTTTTTGCGTCGTCGAAAATTATCGAGAAGGCGCCTTCCGATCACCTTTGTTTACTTAGTAAGTCACGCAAGCGCGCAAGCGTTACGACCGATTACGTTTTCGCAACGTTTTAGGACAGCTCGGCATCTATTCAAATTAATGTCGAGGAGAAGGGTCTCCTCTGATCACCCTGGTATGAAAAATATTCCAGGTGAAGTTTCCATATTTTGTCTGTGAACTAACTGAATACAGCTTTTAACTTGTGGCAAGATAGAATTCCGTGAGCTATATTATTTGCACTTTCGATCGCTGTCCACACGGGTGTACTAGCCAAAAATCATTTTTGGCTTGTGGCGACGCGAAAAAAAAGAATTGGAGAACTACTGAACTATTTTTGAAACATGTGTCCTAAACCCTTTTCATGGGCAAAAAATAAAAGAAAACTTGTTTTGACGGAAAGTCAAGAGGACCGCTTTTAGCGAGAGCGGCACTTATGTGTCGTAACCTCTGCCATACTATATCTCTATGTTAAGAGGACGATGCTATTTGATGTTAGAAGTGTTAATTCAATGCTCTGTTCAGCCCGGCAACTGATTGATTCTGCAGAGGAACTTTTACACCTCAATTGCCTTTGGTTTAACTGAACATCACGAGTTGAATAATTCCTCATATTTGTTTGCTATTTTGATCTTGTTATGAGGATTACTGCATATTAATTCCTCTAATTCATGATGCGGCTTAGCGGTAAGATACATAATGCCAAATCCACGATTATTTTGAAAACTGGTTATTGTGTACTGCAGATAATGAAACATTTCACTTTATTTTATTTCAGAGAACTGACGTCAACCTTCACGAAGCTTGAGTCTCTGGTTCAGATAGAAATGGAAAATTTGGAAGAAAACATCATCAAACTGGATCAAGAAATAACAAGACTTGAGAAAATCGAAAACAAATCGATAATATTAAGGTAATTCTGTGCTACGTATCGGCAATTAATTAATGACAACAGCTGGAGGGAAGGGAAAAAACTAATAGTGAAATGGGGGTGGTGTGGGAAAAATGATTTTCTTCTGAACCCAAATGTATCATTACCTCCCTCTTCACATTGGCTTGGTATTCTCTCTCGCTGAAGGGAACAAGGTGGCAGGGATAAGGGATTATCCACGGCTTCTTAGACTAGTACTCCCAAGAAAGGATGTTGTGAAAATCAAAGGAGGGGGTTGGGAGGGGAGGGAAGGGAAGGGGTGAGAATTACCCCTTGCCCCTTCATAGACCACCATTTCATCTTAGGAAATATTTTTTTTATCAAGGGGAAGGGGATTGTGGAGATTGGGGGATTAGCCTCTACCCCCCTTCACAGACAACCTCGTCATCCTAAGAAATGGGAGTATCGTTTGTAAACAGAAGCATGGGGGAGTGCAGCACCAGAAGTTCTAAGTGAGCTCGCTTTCTGTCCTTAGGAACGAAGCAAGTCGGTTGGAAAGCGAACTGTCCCAATTCATCACCGAGTTTTGTTTGGAAAAGAGCAAGATTTGAAATGATGACTTCTTGAAATCCAAAGACTTCTGAAAATTAAGTCTATAGCTCGCGTAACTGGAAAGTTTTAGTTGGTCAAAGAAGATTTATGCGGCCGACCAGTAGTTTATTTTTTCACGTTCCCCTTGTGACTTCACCGCTCATTCGCGCAGTTCTGTCACCCAAAACTGCCACAAAACTGTTAGTTATGCAGGCTTTATCATCCCTATCTACTTAGTTTATTTTTCATGGCCATGAAGCGTGTAGATCTACTTAGAAAAAGCTTTCCATTCAGTTAAAAAAAAAAATAATAAACACGCTACATGGCTTAGGCGTTACGAATGTTTTTCGAAGTGGTTTCTCTTTTCTACATGATGTAAGAGAGGACTTCTCTAAGAGTTCTTCGAAAGTTTGGTGGCTCTGTCTGAGGTTCTTTTCACTGTCAGTATGTTTTAGAGGTTGTTAAGAAATGCCGGTTAAAATTATTAGTCAAAAGGTAGTATCTATCAGATGATACAGGTCACATCCCGAGGCATGCAATGCGAATAACTTTTCCTGACTAAAGTACACAGATGCTTACCCTACAAAACATAATCAGATGTGAATCGGTTTATCTTATTTTAAGAAATTTATTAAAAATACGAATGGACAGTTAACGACTGTTAGGACGCTCAAGACCGCCGCCTGGTTAGCTCAGTTGGTAGAGCGCCAGTCTGCTGTGCGGGAGGTCGAGGGTTCGAGCCCCAGACCGGACCAACACTCAGGGTCTTAAAATAACTGAGGAGAATGTGCTGCCTTTGTAATTGTACCAGCAAATGGTGAGACATTCAAGTCTTCTCGGATAAGGACTATAATCCTTAGGGTTTAGTGTTACATGGTCAGCAGGGGACGTTAAAGAACCCACACACTTGTCGAAAAGAGTAGGGGGCGTAGTTCCCGGTGTGGTGGTCTATCTCTTGTTTCATTGTACATTTCATGCATGGGCTGGGTGGGTGAGTGGAATCAAATATGGACTGATAGCGGCAGCCAGAGGCGCCTTTACAAGCTGACGTTCGGTCTCACTCAATTAGAATTGTAAACCGCCTTGAGACAGTATGTGATATGTGCGGTATATAAATACACATTCATTCAAGTGTTCTTGTCTTTTTACGTCCGGCAGACGGACTGAAAAATTACAGATTGGTCAGTCTTTATAATGTTCGTAACTAATGAGATTAAAGGGTAATTTTGTGTTATCAACTAAGTTGACAACTTAAAATTAATTGTTTGAAATAAACAGAAGTGGTCTGATTGTCTTAATGAGAACGGTTTATATTATTTTAAGAGATTTACAACAGATTTGAAATACAAATGGACAATTAATGACTGGGACATTTATATGTTTCCGTCTTTTTACGTCCGAAAAAAGTGGTTTAAGAAGTGGTTTAATTGTCTTTAGGAGAACGATTCATCTTATTCTAAAAGATTTAGTCATAATACAAATGGACAAGTAGCCTTTGGGGAAATGAAATATTCAAACAAAAAGTGGTTTATACAATTCAGAAACTGTCTAGCCACTCTTGTTAAACCAGGAGCCCATTCGATAAAAACGCGAGTGGCCAAGTGTTTACTGAAATGGTTCAGTGTCGAAAATGACAGTCAAGTCTTCAATGGAGCAGCGTGCTGTGACATTCATTGGAGTGGTTTAGCAAGAGGACGGGAACGTCATTTCAGAACGGCGCGCGCAGCAAAAATATCGATAAGAAACTGGGTCGAGAACGCCGTCGCGTTGTGGTGAATTGTCATGCCAAACGGTCCAACTAGCTTCACTCTGGTTCAATGACTTGACACAAACGGTTCAGAGTAATGCGAAATGGCACTGGAATGGTTAAGTATCGCATCTGTATGGTTTAGCGTGACGTCAAATGGTTAAGTACAAAACGAAAGGGTTTAATTTGTATTACAGTAATTGGTTGATCGTCGTAACCGCCATAATTGAAATGGAACAGTTCGTGTGGGGTCTTACGTCTGAAGCCTTACGTCATTCAGATCGAATTTAGCGCGAAATTCGCAAGAACGAGGTGTACACCGCGCCGTCCACTCGACGTACAACAAAGGGAAAAATTATTTCTGTAGCCTTGTCTACAAGACTCGGCGAACCTTATTCTGGTAAGAATCTTTTTTGGTGTGTTTGCCTATTTCAGCTTGTTAGCGGATAAATTTATACCTCAATCATCTTGTCACAATGTCAGTAAGTTAATTGTTTCTGATGAACCGTTCTTAATGAGCTGCTGAACGTTCATAGCTTAATGATCAGTTTGTGAAAATGAAAGTAAGTTTAAGCTTATATTTCACAATAATACATTTTCCTATCGTTTCAAACCATATATTTTTTTCGTGAGCCATTTAATAAAATCTGCAGTTAAGCGTCGACCTCGCGTTTGCATTAGTACTTGAGCTTTTAGAGGATATTTTTTGGTCGATCTTCTCTTCGATTTTTATCTTGTGCACAAGCTTTTTAACACGGTTGTTTCCCACTGCAAGGCTGAGCCAATTCACGCCGAAGAAAAGTCGCGACAAAAAAAGTCGCAAAAAAAAGGGACTAAAAACAGTCGGGAAAAAAAAATTGTAAAAACAGTCACCAAAAAAAAGGGAATGTGAAAACAGTCGCGAAAAAAAGGGACCGTAAAAAAAGTCGCGAAAAAAAAGACTGTACATAGTTACAAGAAAGCGCGTGCACCTACAGGCTTTGCGATGTGCCCCAGTTTTCTTCTTCCCTTTAACTTTTCATCAAGCGCGTGCACCAACCGGCTTTACAAACAGGTTTTACAGTGTGCCTTCGCGCATTCGTGAAATTTGCTTTGGAGTTCGAGGTTCGAGTATTATTTGAAAATGAACTATGGCGAACGTGCTTTCCAGAGGACGGTCGTGTTGTTAGAGAAAAGAAGGAATGCTGTTCCTGTAAATGCAGAGATGAGCAGATTCGTTAACGCCAGGCGGGTGATGAACACCGCCTTTACCAAAAATCACACTGCCTCTCCGATTGGCGACGTACTTTGAAGCACTTTTCCTTCTTTGGCTGGAAAATACCTGAGTGGATGCGTCGTAGCCTTGTCACTCTTGTGACAAGGCTAAGTCACCATGTGAAGTTTCTATTTAATTGATGATGCCTACCGATAATTGTCCTAAAATGTTCATACAAGTGCCGCGACACCTGGGGGAGACTGACGAGACTATTCTTCTCCTGACCAGGGACCAGGCTCTTTTAGAGCCGCAACGCTTGGGGGAGATTGACAAGAATATTCTCCTCCTGGCAAATGAATAGGCTCTGGGAGAGTTTTTCGAGACTGTTCACCGCTATAGCAGGGGAAAAGGCTTACAGCAAAATTCGCAATTATATGTCGCATTTCTTAAATCGCCACACTCCCTGGATGCTTATGTTTCCAACTAGTGATATGGACCTTGACTAGAAGCAAAGAGGAGGTCGGGCTCTGATTTCAGGTTCACTCATTTCTTCAGTCCATACTACAAATGGGAATCCTGTGTACAAGGTATTATGTCTTTCATCTTTAAATGATGCCACAGTGCCAGCCGCTCCAAAATCACCCTTGAGATACAAAAAAAAAAAGTAAAAAAAAAAAGAAATGTACATGTCCAAGAATAATTCACGGCCAGGTTTTTCAAAGCTGGGTTAAGATAACCCAGGGTTACTGTGGAATCTGAATTCAGATTTAAAAGCTTTAAAAGAAAATTCAGTAGCGCTACTTATGTATACAATTTGATGATTGGATGCCCTGAAAAGAATAAAGAAAATTATCCGAAAAAGGCTTTGGAGCAAAGGAATAAGAAACCTAGATTAAAATTTAAACCTAGGTTTGTGCTTAGATGAGGCTTCGAACAACTGGATCCAGGTAGACAAATTCCTAGTACTCTTTGATTTATTGTGCCCAAAAATCATAAGTGCTGCAGGAGTAGTGTTTAATTTGAGCATGCAGAAAGATTTGAGGCAAATCACAGAGGTTTGCCTGGGATCTGGCTCTAATAATACTCAGTATCAGTGCTAGACCCCTTGCAGACCTGTTGGCCACAAGCCTTCCTCGAGGCCTCATAATCTTTCTGCAGGTGAAGAAATGCCTATGCTAAAGCACTAAAAATGAGGGTCTGCTCACAAGCTAACAGTTCATTTCTGCTATAAAACCTCATTCCCTGCCAAACGTTGACCTTAAGGTTAGAGTATGATTTAGCTCAGATTTTTTTGTTTTATTGTTAATTACAAATAATCAAACAGTAACAAAACTTGTCACCGCATTACCTTTTTGTTGATAGCAATCAAGGCCATTTCAAATGGTTTAGTAGCTGTTCTTGCTTTTTGCTGGGCTTCTTTGATCACTAACTCACAAGATTCTTGTGGAGAATGGCCCTGGTTGAAATAAAGTGCTAATTGTGATTCACTTAGCTGGGGAAAGGGAAAGATTATTCCTTTAACTCCCAAGATCTGATTCTTAATTCTCCCTATATTTGTCACACATTTCCTTGTAAATTAGTAACAAGAATTTGGTGGTAGATCAAGATAAAAACTTTTAACTGATGAGGTTAGGTATTCTCATTACCTGCTTGCTGAATAATGCATGGATATTACATAGAGAAGTTACATGTTAATCACTTCTGATAGTTTAAGGGTTAAAGAATGGGAAATTAATTATGATATGGAAAGAATGCCTTATTCAGTGAAGTTAGTAATCTAGTTATAGTTACAAGTCTTAGATTTCTTGTACTCACATTCATTGTGTTGGATCACAGACTGCTTTTTACTTTTTTCAATGGTGACACTATTGGGAATCAACCTCATCATGCAAACTTGATGTGCATAATTGAATAAAGCTCATGACAGAATTTTGAAAAAATATGAGACTTCAAGGCTAAAATTAATTAACTGCAGTCATGAACAGGAGATTTCAAGACTCATTGTGAGTGGTGCAAGATTAGGAAAAGGCATTTGACATTGGCAAGATTCTGGTTTTTTGGGGGGTAGTTCAATTCACACCCTTTGTGTACTGGAAGAGGCATCTGAGCAGAGCCAAGAGTTGGGAGTACCTGGCTCACAACCCAGAGGTCCCAAGGTCAAGTATTCCAATGATGCATTTGTAAATAACAATTCACTATATAGCCATGGGTCTCTCTTTATTCCATAGAGCTCTGAAGTTGTAATTGTTGATTTGCACAGTGTCACTAGCCTTAGTACTAAAAACTCTCCCTGTTGTGGATAACAAGCTAACCAATCAGGATGTTTTCTGTCAAGTAAAACAGTTCCAGGCCATATTGGTTTTGGATTACTACTTTCTTCAATTCTATATTAGAAAATACAAATCAACTTGCCTGCCTCATGAGTTGAACAACATGAAAAGCAGGACAGAATCTCATCATTTTGTCACCATCCCCAGTAGCTGCAAATCAAATTAAGACAGTTACATGTAGCAGTCTCTAATCTGCGTCTTAAATTCATTTCAAGCAATACTGCTCCATTTAATTTTGCAGGACTTATAAGCAGACTGGAAACACCTTCAAAAACCAGATCAAAAATCAGAAAGACACCATATTTAAAATCAAGCAAAAGGTGTGTCCTGACCATCTCAAAACATACCTGCTGCTGCTCCAATCTGAAAAATAGAAAAAGAAAAGTTTGGAATATTTATCTCAATCAACAGAAGATATGCATATTCAGATATAAGAAGCCAGCATGCACAACAAGTTGAAAACATATTCTAGTTTCATGCTACACTTTTTTTAACTGCTACAATTTGTTACACTGTAAAATGCTCACAATTTACTCACCTCGTTATCAGCATATAATCCTGACCCTGGGAGAGGTGAATCTCCAACCCTGCCTGGGTGTTTGAAGGAAATCCCACTTGAAGAAACACCTGTGGAAATAAAATGCACTTGAACATTTTAAAAATATCATAATAAACACTTAAAAACTGTATTTCAGATCAGCAAAACTTTTTCCAGTAATTACATAATCAACTTTTCCAAAATACAGTGTACAAATAAGTTTGATTGACTTTAAAATAATTCACATCCTACTATTTCACTGCATGTTACAAAGTTACCTGCAACAAGATGGCTCCTTGAGTCCATAACCAAAATGCCTTTCAAAGAAAAAAAATATTACTATTAACAGGCATTGATCAGCACATAGCTCAAGTTTCCACAAATTTCTTACAGATCTAACAAATATCTTCCTCACAAAAACAAACAAAATGACACAGCCACTGAATGAAAATCAACTTTTTATGTCCACTGTTACAAGGCTGAACTGTAATTTGGAGTGTTACATGATTGTAGTTTTGTAAAAAAAAAAGGGGAGGGGGAGGGAACCAGAGAATGTGGAGAAAAAACCACTGGAGCAAGGACTAGAAACTGAATTCAAGCACTGTGAGATTTAACAAAAAGGGGGCAGGGAAAAACCTAAACAAATCAACAAAAGAAATAAAATGTGCCATTTAATCAAAAGAAGAATTTACTCAAAACCTTAATCAAAAGCTGCAACTCCTCACCTATGGTATCATGGCCTCCTTCTTCTTCACCTGACTTCTCAAGAAATTTCTACTAAGGATAGACAAATGTTGATGGTTATCATAAGTTTACAAGGATCATTATTTTCAGCACATTGGTAAGGCTTAGAATGACTAAGGAAAAACTGCTTAACACACTGTAACTCCCATGTATGATAAAGACTGAATTTCTCCTTACAATATCAATACAATATCAAGCAGGCAAGTCAATTAGGGTTTGTATCGTATAAGTTAATCAAATAACAAATTCTCCCTACTAACAAAAAAAGAATTACATGGCAGAATGTAAGGAGAATTACTAATGAGATCTTGGGAGTGACAAAGTTCAACCAGGATTTTTAGTTGCCTGTGTCAGCATAGCTTACTCATTCTACTGAGTGACAGTTGACTGTAGTGTCAGTGATTCAAGGAAAAATCATTGTTTAAGTATCATAACCCAGCCCTCCTGTGATTGTAAACTGCAGTTTACTAATACAGAAGGGTTCAGCCAGCTACATCTGTTTGTAATAACTTATCAACACTTGAGGAGCAGGAAAAAAACAATACAGATCAACTGTTTAACCCTTTAACTCCCAAGATCTGAATGTGAATTCTGCCCTCAAGTTACATATATTTCTTCACAATTCATTTACAAGAACTTGGTGTTAAACCAAGTTAAACCAAGATAAAAACCTCTACCTTACAAGTATGGGTATTAGTATTACCTGTAGGTTGGATTATGTATTGACATTGTAGGTATATACAGTAAGATAGAGGTTAAATGTATCACTTCTGGGAGTTGAAGGATTAAATAATTTTCTGTTACTGAAAAATGTCTACTGCAATACAAAATCTCCTTCCTTAACACTTTACACCCTGACATCAGTATGTATATTCTCCACATTATTCTCTTTACATTTCTTAAGTTGCAGACAAGGAGAATTTGTTTAACAATCAATAGCTTCTTTAATTGATGATCAATCCCTCAGTTCTCATGACCTTAATGTTTGATTCAGGGATGACATTGTAATGAGAAAAAAGATGCTGGTCAGTCTTTGTGGTTTAAGGGTTGAAAATTTCAAAAGTTTGGCACACCTGAAATGCTTCTCTTGACTGCTGTGTCTGTAAAGCTGAATTTGATTCCACAGGGAACCCATTACTCTGAGCAAACTCCTGTGCACCGCTTCCCACAAGCATACTATGAGGTGACTTTTCCATCACACATCTTGCAACGGAGAAAGCAGTTGCAACTCTAAAGAAAATTAATCAAAAGGTTAAGTGGAGATTAATTGTCATTTAAACTGTCCTCAAAAATGTTTTCTTTTCCATTTCCTGACCTGAACCAACTTTCTTTGAAAAAAGCATAGAAATAAAAGAGAAAAAATTTCCAGATAGAATGTTTAACAAAAGGAAGGCATCAGGAAACAAAACATTTAATAAAGATGGCTTTGCTGATTACAATCAATTGATATCACCTGCCAACAATCAGCGTTCCTCAACCCTTTAAAGGGACCAACACAGAATTTGACCTCACTCAATATAATAACAAGCAGAAAAGTGATGAAAGTAAAGTAATATACAATGCCAAATTCTCCAAACTAACATCACAAGAATTGTATGGCAGACATCAAAGAGAATTACTTATGAGGTCTTGGGAGTGAATGAGTTAAAGATTGCCCGGAGGTAATTATTAAACTTTCATGTACTTATCAATGGGGAATAAGAAGCGGGGAAAAGGATGAGAAAATCGACTCTCCAAAGCCTGAAAATATCAATCACCCCTCCCCCCAAAACTGGGGAAAACTAGTGCTAATACCCTTGCAAAGCAGCAACTGCTCCAAAACGACACGTATCTCCATCCATGACTGCCGCATCACACTCCAAAATACCCTTAGAGTTAGGTAATCCTCCTCTCCCAACAAAATAGAGACCTGTGTCAGGATCTTCTTCAATTACTAAAAAAAAAAATCCTTGTGAGCGCAACTAGATTACTACGTTAAAATAATTGATTTTTTCTGCAGCATGACAAAAAAACTTGCACAAAAGTTTGCAACCAAATTACAATTGATTCCACTTTCCAGTGCATCAATACATCCGTTCCCTTCTCGTAGCTTTCTAGAGATCAATTTCACCGCTTCTAAGCTAAATGGCCAAGTGCCCACAACAACCGCCATCTTGACCGTGCATCATCTCGTAAACTGGAAACGAAACCCACCCGCTGGCCAGGAGCAGACACGCAAGGAAAAGCTGCTTAGGAGTAAATCCGTCATGTATGGGGAATTATTATCCCCACAACATATATGTCCTATACTTAACTTAAAAAAAATAATTCCCAATCCAAGACCCCCGAAACTGAGACCGAAGACCTTAGACACGAAAAAGAAAAGAAAGCGAACTCCGATTTAACGTTTGATGTAATTATCGGCAATTTCGCTTTTGTTTAACTAATAAATGATCACGTTGCGAACGGAGAGGTTGTCAACCTTTTTTAAAACTGGCTTTTTTCTGTGAAGCCATAAAGCGTGACGCAAGCTTCCTGAAGGACTCTTCGTTTGATTTGCGAGTCTTCGTTTAATTTTCGGGTCTTCGTTTTCGGGTCTCAGGTCTTAGCTTTCGGGGGTCTCCGTTTTCGCTTCGACCATAATATAATATCGTAGAGAGGTTAAAGAGTTCGGAAAACCAAAACTCACCGGAACAATGGGGATCGAATTCCACCAATCGCTTACTCGCCGGGATACAAATGGTAACACGTGAACTGCCGACCCCATCGCCTGATGAAGACTAGCAGTAAGCAGTCGAAACGTCGCGATCTACATCTCAAGTGACTACATCGAGTTGTTTGGGTTATTTTGCTTCTCTGGTAGCGATTTCAGGCCATTTCGTTGCGTTTTAGCTGAGATCTCATCCCACTACTACCTGTACTAAGACAGGCAGGCAGCAGTGAGGAGACAGCTCAGCTGAAACTCGACGATGACAACAATGTTAACAATGCATGTGGAAATATTTTGTCGCGCAGCGTAAGCGCTTTCAATTCTTGTTTTTAGATTATTTTCGTGCATCTATTTGACTACCATTTGGTCATGTTTTACAGATTTAAGGCATCTCACGTACGTAACAATTGGGTTTTTATAAGCTTGAGATTTCCGTGCGTGATAGTTGATTTGCTTATGCTTTCGCCATCATCAACTATTAAGTGGGTGTTTATTCAAATGATGATTCTGACGGAGGATTTCTATAAGATGCTTTGACAGTGGACAGTCAATTTTTTTCCGATTTTGACGGTTGACGGTCAAATCTTATGATATCGATGTGCTCATAATTTAATCACTTCGTAGTTGTAAGTTAAATTCCCAGACCTTAAATATATTCAATAAACGAACATCTTTAGACGCATGATACCTTGGAGGTCTAAAATAATTGTAGTGAGATCCTCTCTCATCCCCACGATTCTTATCACCTTTCCAGGTCTTAATTCCGGCTCTTTCGCGTGTTTATAAGAAATGCAACATTCTAAAACCACACTCCAATACGTGGCATGATTATTTTACCTTCACAAATTTATTATTCAAAATGCCTCTCGACGCAAATTAGGTGCCATGAATCTCTAAGGTTGTTAAATGATCTTTTTTGTTTCTTAAAAAGTTTCCCCTTTTTCTGATCTAAATTAGGAATTCTTAAAAAAAAGGATATACCTCCATCATTATCTTGGAAATGTATGAGGAAGGTGAGAATGAAATTCAGTTTTAAGCATAAGTCCAAATTAACGTTTTCCTTTTTACCGACAGTACTTCTCATCCTTTCATGTCAAATTTATGAATGTGGCAGTGAAATTTCATTTTTAATTCAGATCCGTAAATAACAGAGGGGGAGACAAACAAAAACATAGATAAATAAAACAACAAAAGAAAAAAAAATGATTTCACAAGTGATTTGTGTAACCATGACGGCACGATGTTTCATTTACCAATCTTCTGCATGATTCCATTGTCGGCACTTACAATTCGGCCATATAAGTCAGACATGATACTTTTAAACAAGATCCAAGCAGTATGGTGTTTATTCATTTTTTCTATCCTTGTGATGGTTACTTTAATCTCTGCCACGTGGAAATTTGACTTTGCTAAAAGCCCAAACAAAGAGAAAGCTACGCAAGAATTCCAACTTTCAGATTGTGTTGTTTGGGTTATTATTGTTCTCTGGTAGCGATTTCAGGCCATTTCGTTGCATTTTAGCTGAGATCTATCCCACTACTACCTGTACTAAGGCAGGTAGCCGGTAGTGGGATGAGAGCTCAGCTGAAACTCGACGATAAATGATATATGATATATGTGGAATTATCTTGTCACGCTGTGTAAGCAATTTCAGATTGATTTTTGTGCATCTGTTTGGCTACCATTGGGCCATTTTTTACAGATTTCAGGCATCTCACGTAACAATTGGATTTTTATGAGCTTGAGATTTCTGTGCGTGATAGTTGCTTCTGCTTTCACCATCATTAACTGTAAAGAAGGTGTTAATTCAAATGATGATTTTAACGGAGGGTAGCTAAAACATGCTTTGATGGTTGACGGTCAAATTTTAGGCCCTTTGACGGCTGACGATCAAGTGTTAGGTCCTTTGACAGTTGACAGTCAAATCTCATGACGTGCTCATAATTGAACTGTTTATTAGTTGTAAGTTAAAGTCCCAGACCTTAAATCTATTTGAGAAATGAAAATCTTTAGACGCATGATGCCTTGGAGGTCTAATAAAATTGTAGTAAGATCCTCTCTCATCACCACGGTCAACAATATGTCAACAATAGAAGTGGAAATATTTTGGCACGATTTTAATTGTTGTCTTTAGATCATCTAAATCAAATGTTTGGCTGACATTGAGTGAGTTACACAAATAATTCTTGCGACGCTTTTTCTTCGTTTGGGCTTTTAGCAGCAAACTAAAGTAATGGGGGGAGGGGAAGAATAGGTTAAGTAAACAAGGGTAAAGAGATTAAACTGAAGTAATTGGGGGGGAGGGGGAGAATAGGTTAAGTTAACAAGGGCAAAAGAGATCAAATTGAAGTAATAGGGGGTTGAAAGGGCCAATGTGTGAACAGTTTTGTCGCTGGTTGTTGGTACCTTACGCCAAGCGTACCAGGCTCCGCAAAGTTCCTACAAGGTTCACTGATTGAGCCATTTTCTCACAGTTTGAGTTGCTTTTCTATTTTGGAAAGGGATAGTTAATATTGTTTTCCTCTACTCACGAGTTTAAAAACGTCTGTTCAGGCGTCAAGCTATTTCATGACAAAATGACTCGCACTGAGTCCTCAGAGAGTAACTACTTCAAAGCTTGAAACGTGTCAATCTATGTTAAATGTTTTCTTTTTATCTTCTTCTCTTACAAAGTGTGCAAACGGCACAATTTCCTCGTGACGGGTTACATTCATGCAGTAAGTTTGTGATTTTCTCGTGTATAATCGTGGATCCTTCTTAAATTCCCTAAGTAAACTGTGATTTGCAAATCGCTCAGGGACATCTCTTTTTACATCTTGAATGAATTCTCTCCAGGCTTTGTTTGTTCCCGTATGAGACCTCGGGTATGGGCGATGCAGAGGATTGTAGACTGTTACAGGAAAGAACAACAACGCTTGCCCACGAAACTTTATCTCTACGACAGAACAAAGATATTTATCTGTGAACCACCAACTAACTTGTTCAAATCGTGTATCCAGCGGAAATATGTGGACGACCGCTTTTGCATGAAAGGCATTAATAACAGGATCGAAATATATGATCGGACTTGTAACCGAAGTGTGGTTTACAAGGTTCTTATTGCAAATCTTCCAGTTTAGTTGGATTAAAGATTTCGCTGGATTGTTCGAATAGTCCATTACACCAACGGCAGGCTCGTAATCCAGAAGCCAGTTTTGGAAAGCTTGGATTGGACTGAGTTGTCTCATTGCTGGAGTTGCTCTTTTGTTGAATTTCAGGGAGATGTCATCGTCAAGAAATATGTAATACAAGTAATTGGTGTTTCTCTCTAAAGCGTGGAAGAAAAGCCTGTTACGACCGGATCCCCAAGTGGTTGTGTTGTCAAACAAATAGGTGAAGTGAGCTGGGCGATATTCTCGGCACTCTGCTTTATAACTTAAAACAACAACGTCACAGCGACATTTTGAACGGTTGCCTAAATCCAGATTTAAAGTGACATTCTTTCGAAGACATCTTTCGGTTTGAGTAAGATAGAGAAATAATTCTTGCGTCGCTTTCACTTGGTTTGGGGTTTTAGCAGAGTCGAATTTCCACGTGGTAAAGATTAAAGTAGCCATCACGAGGGTAGAGAAAATGAATAAACACTTCCATGCTGGTTGAATCTTGTTTAAAGGTATCATGTCTGACTTATCTGGCTGAATAGTAAGGGCCGACAGAAGAATCATGTAAGAGATTGGTAAATAGAACAAGGAGCCGTCATGGTTACACAAATCGCTTGTAAAATCTTTCTTTTTTTGTTTTGTTGTAATTATTTATTTATTTATTTATTTATTTTGTGTTTGTCTTTTCCCCTCCCCCCTGTTATTTACGGATCTGAATGAAAATAAAATTTCCCTGACACATTCATAAATTTGATATGAAAGGTTAGGAAGTATTGCCAGTAAAAAGGAAAACCTTAATTTGTACTCATGTTTTAAACTGAATATCATTCTCACCTTCCCTCACATACATTTTCAAGAAAATGATAGAGGTATATATATTTTTTTCAAGAATTCCCAACTTGGATCAATAAAGGGGGAAACTTTTTATGAAACAAAGAAGATCATTTAACAATCTTAGAGATTCGTGACACCTAATTTGCATCGAGAGGTATTTTGAATAATGAATTTGTGAAGGTAACATAATCATGCCACGTATTGGAGTGTGGTTTGTGGATTGTTGCATTTCTTATAAACACGTTAAAGAGCCGGAATTAAGACCTGGAAAGATGATAAGACTCTTGGTGATGAGAGAGGATCTTACTAAAATTTTTTTAGACCTCTAAGGTATCATGCGTCTAAAAATTATACTTTATAGAATATATTTAAGGTCTGGGACTTTAACTTACAACTGACAAACAGTTCAATTATGAGCACATCATGAGATTTGACCGTCAACTGTCAAAGCATGTTTTAGCTACCCTCCCGCCTAATAGTTGATGATGGTTAACAAGAAGC